GTGTTATAAATTTATAATAGATACATTTTGAGCCACAACGACGTGTGGTGGGGATCTGCTAGTATTATATAATTTTCTTGTAACAAAAATTTAAATATACAGTATATTTGATTGAATGGAAGACTACCAACTTTTAGATGAAAGTAAGTTTTTTTAAATGAAATATATTTCACATTTGAAAAAATATTTTCACATTCGAAAATCAAGACAATACAATGATCAAGTCCTTAAATCCTTTTTCATTCCATTCAGGGCTAAACTAGGGCCGAGCAGGCAACTTGAAGCAAAACTTGCTGTTGTGAAAATTTTAACACCTTTTTAATGTTTTGTAGACATGGAATCCTACAATGAAAGAGCAATGTCAAGATCATTTTTAATAGTGTTTATAGGTCAATTTTATGAAGTTTTTGCTTCAAGTTGTCTACTGTTTAGTCCCTAAATGGAATGAAAGAGGGTTTAAAGGACTTGAACATTGTTCGTATTGTCTTGATTTTCAAATGTGAAAATAATACTGGCCTCAAGTATTATTATGAAATATATTTATTTAATCAATAGTATAATTTTCATTGTTTATTGTTACTACTTACTTATGTTTCACAAGCATAGGTTACCTAAAATTTTTTATATTTATATGGGATCAATATATTTCTCCATTGATCCCTTCTATACAAAAATTCAAAACCATGAGGTTTTCCTTCAAAAAATTTCTTAATCCATTTAAATAATTTTGTAATAAATAAAATAAATGGATATTTGGTAGTGCTAAATCTAGTGAATATGATAAAATATGGAATATGTTTAAGTTTTCCAATTCAACTGCTACTTTCTGCTGAGTCATTGAAATGAGTCATCAAACTGTATATAATCCAGGTGAAAACATTTCTTTTGAAAATGTAGACTTTCTTTTTAAGATATTTTTATTCAATCTAATAGCTGACAAACTGGTTAGCTATTTAACTGCAACTTAATAAAACAAAACTTTAGGAGTATTTCTTCCAAGTTAATAAAAATTCAATGTCTTCAAACTTGTTCAAAGTGAATTTTAATTTTATTGGATTATACATAGATGCTTTGTCTGATTAGATGTTAAAGATTTTTAAGTCACATCCAATTAACTGCAAAGCATTATCTTTTTGAAATAAAGATTGGCTTCTGCCAACTTTTAGTTTCTATCATTGCATTTTTTTGAAAAAACATGTCGACAAATAGTTAAACACCTCAAAAATAAATTTAGTGAGGAGATATAAGTATTTTGACAACATGCATTTTCTTCATTCAATGCATGCTGAATTAATATTTTCCCATATATATATATATATATATAAACTAAATATATATAAACTAAATAAAAAACTAAATTTAAACAAGATAAATTTTTGAAACATCACATTTACTCTTAATTCCTTAGTGTTATTTCTTAATTTTGAGCTATCTTCAATAACTTTTGGATAAACAGTATTTCATAAATCTATTAATCTAAATTATTTTAACCAAAATTTTTTGAATCATATGACATGACAAAATAGTACCAGGTTCACATAATTCACAAATTTTTTTTGTTTATTTAGCAATGATATTTTACTGATACTCTATACATCTAATTTGTTAAAAATCTGCTCTTAATTTTATTCGCATGAAATGCCATAAAGAAAATTCAAAGTATGGCTGCAAACAAAGTTTATGCTCCCACTATATAACAATGCATTAAATGAAAAAATGATTTAATTAAATTTCATGTTAAATCATTTATCAATATTCATTAAAAACAATTTCTTTCAATCTTTCAGGTTTTAACTTGATATAAGTATAATAGTTAATACTTTATTGAAAATATCTTTTACAATGAATTCAATTACAATTTATAGCTTGTCTTAAAAGATATAGTAGTAATGTATAACTTTCTGAAAATATGCATTTTAATTTGCTTTAAAAGAAAATTATCAAGAATATATCCATCTTTTAACTACATGAATAAATCAAACTTTTAAATTCAATCATTATTTGTATTTTAAATATAAATGAGCAATTATTTATTGTGATAAATAAGAGGTTGGTACAGGCCACACTCATAGGTATAGCCCTGGTATTTATTTACTGTATAGGTATAGCCCGGTATGTATTATATTATCACAATGCTGACTGCAATTTTAATCACATTTTTAATTTATTTAATTTAAAATATATACTCTCCACCTCAAATTGGCAGCAGCTTTCCCCTGTATATCACACTTTTTCTTTAACAATAGAGTTGTGCCAGTCATCTATCTAACATATTTCGGGGGAAATTTTTGAATTGAAATAATGTGACTTCCGGTTTATATCAAATGTTCGTATATAGTTACTTGGGGCCTCCTGCTTCTAAGGTTTTCATATCTGGTCTTGTCATCTAGCTAACCCCATTCTTGAGATTAAGGAAAGATAGACAAATGGACGGCAGATGGACAAGAGTGGGAATTTATAGGTTTACAATTTTTTCAAATTGCAGCCCAATAAAATATTTTTTTAAAAATTACTAATAAATCAGTAAATACCAAATCAATTTTGAGCTATAACTTAGCTAACTATTAAATTAAATCAGTCTAAAACAATTTGATCTAAAACTTAGGTAATTATGCTGCCACCTTGTACTAATTTTAATTTAATCAATTATTGAATTAAATTTAATAATTTAGAATATTCTGGAAACATCACATTATTTTCATCTTCAAAACTTATTTAAAAATAAAGTCTTAGTTTCTTTATAAGTATTTTAAACAGTAAATTTTAGGGTTACAATTCTTATAAATGAACTGTTTATAAATATCTAAGCATCTCAAAGTCCAATAATTATATTAAAGCCAAACAATTGCCAAATTTCTGTTTAAGAACATTCGTAAATTACATTTAGATCAGAATATTTATATTTAATAATATTTGTAAGTATAACCTAGATAAACACACAGACACACAATTTATTATTAATCTTATTATCTAATTTATTATTACAAAATAGTCGTTTCTATATATAATTGAATAATTTATTAAAAGTAAACCATTGTGTTATAAGAAAGTTCCTCATATAAATAATTTAATACAGAATACTTTTCTTAGAGAAAAACACTTAATTCTAGAAAAAGAATTTTGTGTAGCATTAAATTATTGTACTACATTATTGAAATACTATAATATTGAAATTTCTGTTACAATTACAATTATTTTACAATTACAAATTGCAATTAGTTATTAAAAAATTTAACAAGCTTAAAAAATGAATACTATAACTATGTTTTACTTGATCTTCCCAACATTTTATATATATTTCATATAAAAACATATTTATATACATGTATATACATATTTGCACTATTTGAGAATTTCATTGAATATTCTATAAAAGTTGTTTGAAATTTGGTTCTGTTCTGGAATCTGTTGATTAAATCTTCTATGATGTTTGGACAGTTACTATTAGAACATAACTTATATAAAATATGGTTTTGTAATCTAATATTTTTGTTTATATAAACTGATAAAAAGAAAAACCTGTCAGCTTCACAGAAACTGTTATCCTCAAAATTTTATGATTAGAATGTAAGAAAATTATTAATTATATTAAAAAAAAATTGGAAATGTAACCTGTAATTATTATTACTACTACTATTATGCATAAAAAATATTAGAATTAATAAGTAGATGATTAATAAACAACACAGGAATGAACAGATGTTAACAAGTTATAGCACAAGATTAATAATACTTATATCCTGATTTATAAATAAATTCTTATATGTTTAGATATTTATATGAAATTTAAAAATTCAAATTTTTGACATTCCATTCTAATACCAAAAAAATTACATTAATTAAAAACAGATTTTATTGATTTCATATTTAGAAGCTTTTGAAAATGGATTGATCTCAGTTTTATTCATTTGAAAGGATTATTACATGAAAGAATTTTTTAAATAAAAATAACTACTCTACATTGTTTTAAGTTTTTTTTTTTAAATTTTCTCAAATTATTCAACTTTCTGCAAATAATTTTTTAACTCTTCTAGATATAATTTCATTTTAACAAAAACATTTATTTTTCTTATAGAATTAATTGTGTATTACGAATTATCTAAGGATATAAATTAAGTATATTAAGATTTTATTAGCAGCAATAATAAATATAGAGCAATTATATTCGGTACAGGTTTTGTTTACTTTCTTTCAGTTTCCACCAAAGCTTATATTCATAGATATTGATTGACAGTGAGTCATTTTCAGTACTTGATGATTTTTTTCACCAACACATTTTTATTAAATTACTAATAACTTTTGCAGTTATTTAGCTAAAAATTAAAATGTATAGGATTCATAAAATAAAAAGCTAATTAATTAAATCCGAAATTCATCATTTCAATGACTGGAGATTAAGATAAATAATATATATACAGTATATATATATAATTTATCTTAAACATTTTCAATGAAGCACTAAAAATAATATATCAATCACATCAACATCAGAGTAATTGTAAATAAGAAAAATGTGTTGTATGTAATACTTGATATTTTTGACAATATAACTGAGTTTATTTATTATCAAAGTATGAAACAAAATAGTTAATTATATAATATAAAAAAAGCACATTTTCACACAAAATTCATAAAATTATGGCATTTAGAAAATCAATAAAAAACATTAAATTCGTAACAGACATATGAAAATATTAAATATTATCTACAATATTTACACATGTCACAGTACCGTGAAACGAACAATAGATAACATTGACGTCGCTATGATTCACAATACACAGCAAATATTTATTTTATGTAAGAACTATAATTAAATTAATTGAAAAATTTAACTATATATAAAAACGCATTAATGTAATCAATTAAATACATAATTATTTTTATTAATATAATATTCTAATTATTAAATAAGTATTTTATTTTTTAATGTCGTAATTGATAGATGAAATGGAAGCCATCTTAAAAAGATCAACAACACATTTTTTTAAATAACTTACCTGTGTCGCCTATAATGATATATTTAAAAAGATAAGCATAAGACATCTTTTAATACAATAATGATTTTTAATATTTTGACGAATTCTCGCAACACGTCAAAAGCTCTTACAATACAAAATTTCCAGCTGTCGTAAAGATCGCAATCAAATTTCTTTCTAAGTATATAGCAGCCGATAATGAATACGCCCAAATTTAGCCAAATGAGGAAAACATTTTTTTAATAAACTTATTAATTATGATTATTTATTAATATAAATATATAATAAAAAATTATAATAGTTATAGTAATATTAATAACGCGTTCATATTTTTATTTCTAATATTTTAAAATTTAAAATGTTTGAATAGATGTTTATTGTTTTATTTTATTTTTGACTTCGTTCTATGGGCGCTAACAGGACATTTTTTATGCCCGATGTGGGTTCGGTTAGGAACAGAATGGGACGGCCAGGCGTTGATAGATAGGACTTATAGTGACGCAGCAGATTCTACAAAAGAAGGCACAAGTTATAAAAAAAAAAAAACTATATTTACGGGGTATTCTGTATATTTACGGGGTATTCTACGTAAAACATTCCCACTTACTGATTGAGAAAAATTGTTATAATCTTCAAATTGAAAAAATCGGGACAGATGAGATCATAGTTATTTTTTTAAATTTCATTTAAAAACTTACTCATACTTTTACTCTCAAAAAAGTGTGGACACTTGCATAACCAATGCTTCGTCGTTTAATTTTATGTTTTCACAGGGGGTTCCCCCTCTTCTGAGGCTAATTAGAAAATTTTTAATTGGGTCTGGATATCTGGTTTTATGTGGGTCGACATATATATTAAACTGAGATTTTATGAAGCATAAATATACAATATTTAATCTTGATTGAAAGGATGCGTAGATTCTTTAAATCAAGGTTAAATGTGTAGATCGTATAATAGATCAATGGGATGTGTTGTTTGAAGATTTTCGAGTCGCAGAATTTGAAAAAAAAAATCAGCAATGTCAGTTTATTTTTAATCAAATGCAGAATCCGTATGTTAAAGCTTATTTATTATTTTTTAAATATATATTACATTTATTCAATGAGTTTAATACCTTTTTCCAATCCGAAAAGTCTTTAAGAGCCGCCGCAAACTACAGGATGCGGGAGCTAGCGTACGCTCGCTCGCGCTCCTAAGCCCCGCCTTTTTTCCCATGATGCTATGAGCCATTTTTGCTAGGTAAGCTACGCGAACAAGAAGCAGCCGCAAACTACACAACGTTTGCTCGCGTAACGTAGTCCACATGACGTGGATTCTGTGGATTCCACAGATGTAGATTGGCTATAGAACAAGATTTTATTATAACCTATACTTGTAATCAGTCAGTTTTCGTTCCGAACTTTGAAACAGCATGGAAAAAACATGTTTACTAGTTAAGCCTAACTAGGCTTAACTAGCCGAAAACTATTTATACTGTATATTACTATTTACATACAACGGTTATACTATTTTCTTTTCAGTACTGAATGTATTAATTATGTAATTTACGTACATCGATAAAATTCTATTATTTCTTTTTCGACATGTGACATGTTTATGTAGTCATCCGTCTTCCCCGCTCTCTCTTGCTAGCGTAAATGCTCTAGTTGTTGAATTCTGTGAACAGCGAGCGTACTCTCGCATCGCTGCGCTAGCGAAGGAAAAACCACGCGAGCAAGAAGTAAGGGGAGGAGTCTTTGACGTCATCGGTTGTGCTAGCGCATGTTTGCTAGCGTTTTGCTCTCGCAAAGCGCTAGTTTGCGGCGGCTCTAATATCTCATCTTTACATAGAAAGTGTTCGTTTTATTAAATTATTAGCCTCTAATTTTATCAAACCAAAAGTATTATCGGCTTATCATAAAATACACTGGGAGAAATTGAAAGTGGATTGAAACCCAGATGGAATTGGTGAAAATTCGCGAAACTTGGTAAACATTTACAGGGACATATCCAGAAGAAATGAACACAAAATAACATGAATTACGCAAAGTTTTATTGCTGTTTGATAAATGGTTCAGTAATACCCACCTTGAGCATGGATTTACTCTGGGAACCTTGCGGGCATTGAATCAATAAGTGTTTGAATGTTTTATTGGGGTATATCTCTCCATGCCTGCACAACTTGTGCAGTCAGTTACTGTACAGTGCTCGCTGGATGGCTATGAGACGTAATCCGTCTACCCATAGCATCCCATGCATGCTCTATAGGGGATAAATCTGGAGACCAGGCGGGCCAATCCATGATTGGGACACTTTGCAAGTCCTGTCTTGTGATGGCTGCAGCATGAGGATGGGCATTATCTTGTTGGAAAATTCCGTTTTGGATGGTGTTCATGAAAGGTTTGATTACTGGATGGATCACCCTGTCCACATACTGGCGGGCAGTCATTGTGCCTTCAACAACCACCAACTCGGTCCTGCTGTCGTAACTGATTGCCTCCCCAAATCACGATACCAGGAGTCGGACCTGAGTGCAGTGGCGTAGCGTAGTGGGGGCGGCAGGGGTGGCCCGCCCCGGGCGGCGTTTTTTAGGGGGCGGCAAAATTTCACAATAAATAATATCTTATAAAAATTTGAATCATTTTATTTCATATTTCCGTCTCACCTACGATTCGGACCGATTGAAATGAGCACGAGGAATAGCAGTGGCGTGCCGTGACATTTGATGATAAGGAAGCTGTGTTTCTATAAGAAGCCGACTTCCAGGGGAAATCAGTTAATTCTTTCTTTAAATGTATTTTTAATAGATTATTTATCTGACGTACTTAATAAATAAACAAGTTCAATATAATTACTTCTGTTATTAGATCTAATATATTCCATATGCCCTCTAAATGCCAATTCTTGCTTTGATAAAAACATATAACATCTATTTATTTAGATATAATATATCTATTAACCGTAACTATCTCGTTATAATTTTCAATATTTATTTTATATTATTTACTAATGTTAAATTCTATTCCGCTTCGATTTCCAAATTGCTTCAAATACGAAAGAATCGACGATTTTTCGTGTCTTTTGCCAGCTAAATTGTCAAAGCCATTCTTATTCCACACACTAATTTCATTTGAAAATAGTAGGCGAGCCAACAAAACAATTTTTGCATTTTTATGCATTTACAGAGCCATTTTATCGTGAAAATGTCGAACAAATTTTTTTATTGAAGCGTTTATATTTAACTTAGGCATTGGCTTTTCTCTTTTAATAATGTTTTCTTTTTCATTATATGACCTCGAGCCAAAACTTTTTAAAATAAATTTTCAATATCACAATTACATTCCGAATCGCTAGCCACGATATAAGGGCTAAAATTAAAAATAAAATAATAAAAACTTACTCGATGAAATAAAATATAATGTGGTGGATATATATACCTGGTACAAAACATTCTTCAATTGTATAAATTACTTTTAAAGAAAATTATAATTAAATATAGCTTTGTAATGAAACGTACATAAAAATAACATAAAATATTCTTTACTCTTTAAATCTTAACTACTTAGTCAAATAGCTCCCTACGAGTGGAATCAGAGACGGTTCTGCTAGGTGTGCGGTGTACATGAACTCGGGCTGCCAAATCTCGAGAGTGCCGATGCCGGTCAATTTCAAATGCTTCTTTTGTCGCATCACTAATATACCTCAAAAGACGCGACAGGGATCTTGTAAATTTTAAACGTTTCTCACCATAGCTGTAAAAGTCTAAATATGTTAAACTTAATAGATTGTCCGTCGTTTGTTTTCTAATTCGTTTTAGGACCAGGTGTTGTCCACGGAAATAGAGAGGCATCCTGTCCTCACCATTCTTTCAAAAGAGCGACATTCCTTAAGGCAACATACTCTTCCCATTTCTGATTGCAATATTTTTTTGATATAACTTTCCTGACTATTATGAGATATTGTTTAGAAAATTATAAAAGTTATTAAAATTACAGTGTTACCTAATAAAATTGCGTGTAGCGCCATTTCTTATGAGTTTTTGTTATAGAATGTTTTAATATTTTTAATTACTATAAAATGACAACAAATTTAATTTCGAACGTAGGGATGAGTTTTATAAAAAAAGTATAAATGTTAGTGCCGATTTTACCCGTTATTAAGTGTGACCCTACTGGAAATACACAGAACTCTTGTATTTCCCTATCCCTTCGATTTTTAACCACCAAAATTTACTAGCATCAATGCATCAAAGAAAAATGCGAGAATTGGCAGAATAATCGAGGGAAAGACGGAAAAACCGAATTTCAGTAAAGAAAACGAAACTGAAATAAATTATTTGTCAGCTGGATGTTAGCCAGCAGTGGCATGCCCTCATTGAAAGCGTGGAAGTGCCGCTTCCCTTGTATTTTCTAAAAAAAGAAATACATATTGTGCCATTATTTTCATATTTTAACGTATTTTGGATTAATTAAAATTAATATTTTATTATAACGCAATTTTGTATCATATTACAAATTTCTATACTACACGTGAAAAAAACGATAAGATTGCTATTGTATATTCGAATATCAGTGGCGGAATGGAAGCGCTGTATCGTCGAAATCAGGCCAGCTTCTGGTGAACCGGGTGAGGTTGGTGGAAGCTACACTTGTATAACGCTTCCAATGATTCTATCCAGGAACGGTTCTGGGCTGGGGTTCTCTCAGTTAGTCAGTCGGTCATGCATCTGATGACGACGTACTGGCTGTTCTTGAATGTTTATTGGAAACAAATTGTATTAAAACTCGCGGAAAAAACTGTGCATAGAAGTCTATGGTGTAAATACTAGTAGTAGTGGTTCGGGAAGCACTGATCACAAAATTAATTTATCATATGAATAATTTTTTAATGGAATTATTTCAGATCACAAAATTAATTTTTCAAGAGAAATCTTGGGATATAGATTCTGTTAAAAAGCATCAATTATCAGTGAAAGATCAATGGCAAATCGATTTTATTACCAAAAAAATTCATGAATTAAATTTATAGATAAAAACTATCGGATATAACTAGCTGGATCGAACATAGTAATTTACAAAACTTATTAAATTATTTCTCAACGTATAAAGAATAGTTAAATAATTAAAAGATTAGGGAATTGGGGACATAAATAAAATCCGAACCAATCTCTAGCCGAGTACAATGGGGACTGATTTCTTCATAATATTAGATGTAA